TTTTTTTGAGACGGAGTTTTACTGTTTTCGCCCAGGCTGGGGTGCAGTGGTACCATCTGGCTCACTGCAACCTCCACCTCCCAGATTCAAGCGATTCTCCTACCTCAGCCTTCCGAGTAGCTGGGATTACAGGCATCCGCCACCACACCCAGTTCATATTTGTATTTTTAGTAGATGGGGTTTTACCATGTTTCCCAGGCTGGTCTCAAACTCCTGACCTCGGGTGATCTGCCTGCCTTGCCTTCCCAGAGTGCTGGGATTACAGGCATGAGTTACCACGCCTGGCCACTATGCCTGTTTATTGCTGAATGTTGATTCCCATGGTTATTTTTATCCAAAGTCATGACTTGAAATGCCATTGTTAGCAATGAATCCCAATTTTAGATTTTTAACCTTGACCTCTTAAAATTCTTTGTGATGTTAGAGTCAATCAGTAGATTTAGGTATTACAATTGTAATTATTACACATTTTAGGAGTCATTTTAGATAAGATGTCAAGCTGAAGTTAACAGGAACATGTGATAGTGAGATATGTCCTGGAAAGTGTATAAAACCAGAGATACAGCTTTATTTGTATACACACATAATCAAGATAAGAATTTCCTAATATGCTGAGTCTCCTATCACTTCATCTAAACCCTGTGTTGCACATTTCATTCTTCATATCCCATTTGTCAGTAAAACAGCACCAATTTACATCTTTTTTCACATCTTCGGCACAAGGCCATTCCAAAAGCACTGAGTGCCTACAAAAATGTCACATACTGCTTAGAGCTGGCAATTTTAAAATTACCAAAACATCCTTGCCCTCTCAAGATCTGTTTTGTGGAGCCATTTGCAATCTAAATCTTGATTTTTTTTTTCTTCCTGTTTTTTGTTTGTTTTTGAGATAGGGTCTTTGTCGCCCAGGCTGGAGTGCAGTAGGACCATCATAGCTCACTGCAGCCTTAAACTCCTGGCCTCAAGGGGTCCTCCCACCTCAGCCTCCTAAAGTGTTCAGATTACAGGCATGAGCCACTGCACCCAGCCTCAAATTTTAGAGGTATCAGTTGAGACTCTATTTTTCAAAATCAGGAAGACTTGAAAGAGTGTTTTGGATAATTTTGAAAACGAGCCAATATAACTGGCTAAAGAATATATTTTTATTTTTTTTAAAGGTACTTTTTATTGCTGTTTTTGGAGACAGGGTCTCACTCTGTCACCCAGGCTAGAGGCTGGAGTACAGTGGCACCATTATAGCCCACTGCAGTTTTGACCTCCTGGGCTCAAAGCAAACCTCCCACCTCAGCCTCCTGAGAAGCTGGACTATGGTGCAAACCACCACATCCAGCTTTTTTTTTTTTTTTTTTTACTTCTTATAGAGACAGGGTCTCACTATGTTACCCAGGCTGGTCTCAAACTCCAGGTCTCAAGACCCTCCCACCTTGGCTTCCCAAACTGCTGGGACTAGAGGTGCGAGCTGTTGCACCTGTGGTTCTTCCTGTGCCTCTCTTCGGCAGACTCTGTAGTGAGGAAGCTTAAGCAATTCATTAAACAATTTAAAGAATAACTTGAGTTTCTGAAGAATGTTTATTAACACAAGTATTTTAAGAAGTGAGGCTGGGCAGTGGCCCATGCCTGTAATCATAGCACTTTGGGAAGCCGAGGCAGGCGGATTACCTGAGCATGGGAGTCTGAGACCAGCCTGGGCAACATAATGAGAATGTCTCAAAAAAAAAAAAAAATTAAAAAAAATTTTTGAGAAAGAAGTGAGAGTATCACTGAGCTTAAAGTAAAGGAGTATGGTTATTTATAATCCTTAATAAAGTAGGCTGGGTGCAGTAGCTCACACCTGTAATCCCAGCACTTTGGGAGGCCCAGGTGGGTGGATCACCTGAGGTCAGGAGTTCAAGACCACCCTAAGCAACATGGTGAAATCCTGTCTGTACTAAAAATACAAAAATTAGCCAGGTATGGTGGCACATGCCCATAATCCCAGCTACAGGAGGCTGAGGCAGGAGAAACCTTTGAACCTGAGAGGTGGAGGTTGCAGTGAGCTGAGACTATACTTTTACACTGCAGCCTGGGTCACAGAGCAAGACTCCATCTCCAAAAAAAAAATAATGTATTAGTATACCATCTTTATTGCAGTAAAATATACATACGATAAAGTTTACCATTTTAACCTTTTTTTTTTTT